ATACTTCAAAGAGGTGTTTTCGCAGGCTAGAATGCATAAAGAGCGAGTAATTACTTCTTTTACTTTTCCAACACGCAGGGCTTAATACGGGCCTGGGAATCGCTAAACGGGAAAGGTAAATTTTTGTTGCCAACTTAAGTGGGCCATCGGTACCAGATTATGTTAAAAAACTCGATTTGTCCTAAACTTTTACGCGAAGCTCCCTCCGACTACTTGCGACTTGGATCCACTCTTAAGGGGGAAAATGCAAGTGCGATGCAGCCCTTAACCACAAAGTCTTTGATTAGACGTCTTTCCATGACATGTACACGATCCAGGCTATCAAATTTCTGACGAACAATGTCCATAGCTTCAGACGCTTTACGGTTGGAGAGGGTTTGGCTTGATTCTGGGTGACAAGCCATCTGGTCCTGGCTGAAGGGGGCTGAGAATCGCTTTCCAGACCAGCAATAATTGTGCACAAAACAGTCTGTGCTGCTGTGAAATGCCGACGCCCAACTCGAAAGTTGAGGGAAATTTTTTGATGAGGACCAAACAGACTGATGTCGCTGTCATGATTTATCGTATCAGCACAAGCTTGATTGCCAAATCTTCCCTTCACTAAGAGACGACTTTCCGTTTGTACCATCGACTACCTCCAAACGGTTCCCTCATCGCTCTACCAACACATTTTAAGCGATCAGATGAAGATCGATGCCTCACAGCAACCATACTTGGTTTTAGGCGTCTCTTGCAGGCCTTCAAAAAGGTGGTAGATTGAGCTACGATAGCTTTGACCGTTTCGCTTAAAAAGGACTTACTCTTTGACCATTACTAAGTTGTTTAATCTCCGTGGTATCGCTGATGTTGACTGACTCCTTCTAATCTCCACCTCCCTTCGCACCATCACATCATCGGTCTCGGCCCTTTCAGGCGATGTTTCAGGTGAATTCAACCAAACAAAGGCGGCGGGAACAGATCCAATCACCATTCCTCCTGGCTCCATGCCCTTTGACGGATCGACTAGAAACCATTCTCTGTGCATCAAATCGGCTGGGCGATTGGCACGCACGTGGACGCGTGTGCCTGCTCGAAGGAAGCGTCCAACTTTCCCATTGGCAGATGATAGACTAATGGAAGCCATCAGTACCCCACTGTGGAGGCCGTGGAGCAGAGGCATTCGGCGATGCAGAGGATTTACAATGGACAGTTGACTGTTGAGCTTTTGCCAGTTCATGAAGGCCTCTACGAAGAACTCCTAATACATCGATTTCGGAATGAAAAAAGGGTTTTCCATGAAAACCGTTTGTCCGTTACGCAGTTACAAAATCGACTTGATTTGATGTGCATCCTTCACCACTTTGGTGGTTTAACAGTATTTCAAAAGGCCAAGACAAACGGTGATGTGGAGAACAGGCAAAATTGGTGATCGCGCCTGATGCCACGCGCTTGCAGGCATAAAGGAGTGCAGAAATAAGGAAGCCGATCCAACAACGAAGGAGAAAGTAGAGAAGGACGACGTGGCTAAGATCAACCGCATTTCCACCGAGAAAGAAAAACCTTGTGTTGATGGGTTTTGAAAAGCAGTTCTGCAGTTTTTTAACTTTTCTATCATCAAACAGCAAATGTGGGTTTCTAACCTACCTTTCACCAAACGTTTAGGATTTTAATAACGAAAACTCAATGGGATAATTTTCTCAGGAAAGGGGTGTTGTTACATAAATGGGCACCTACTGACTCCTTTGTGGTGGTTCAGAGGTGCCCACGAGGCGTGCACGCGGAATAATGCGGTAGGGGCAAAGCAAACTTTGGCGTCAACGGTGGCCATTATTTCAGCAAATGATGTTGAACGAATGAAGATGTCGTGACTTACCAGAGACTGTCGAATTTCCTTGCAGAAAGTGTTGATTGCTGATTCCGTGGCTGCCTGATGGACCTTCAGATCATCCACATGGGCCTCCAACTCATCCACTTGACGTGTAAGATTTTCAAGCTCCAAGTGGAACTGAAGGGAAACGAAAACAATTTTTGCATCGGTCTTATGTAAAAATGCTAACCATAAATCATTTGTGCTGTCTTCAGACCTTACGTGACTTGCTAACTGCACTTGACAGATCATCTCACCATTGCGGCGTATGGTTTGGAAACCGCTGTTTGGGAGGAAAGAATCTTCCCAAAGCAGCATTCGTCTCGTAAATTACCGAATGTGTGGACTTAGTAAAAAGCTCAACCTATTGGCGCCCTCTTGTATTGCTTCTCAGCTTCAAAAATAATCAAACTTATGAAGGAGGTGGAGGCTTCGACTTCATTCGAAAAAGGTGCGCAATTACCAGGTGGTAGCGTTTGGCGTGGTTGACATGAGTCTGCAGCATGTAGCCCAAATGTGTAATGTGCTCCCAGGAGTTGCCCACCTCCTCGTTGAGTCGCTAAAATAAGAAAGGGGATTTCGGTTTTAATAGTTCCTTGGGTTAGGATCTCTTCAAAAACTATCAAACGTTACCGCCGAATCGAGTGCCTCTCGATTGATGTTTCGGCAGTCGTGAGACAAATGAAGAGAGGTTTGAACAACTTTGTCCGCTAAGTGCTAAAATGGAAGCGGAAGAAATTGCAGGCTGTTCAACACTACCGCATTTGCCATTTAAGCATCGCCTCATCTCATTGACACCGGCTAGTCAGCTAAACAAGCCACACAACTTACGACGAAGTCCCTCTCCAAGCGACTTATTCCACGAAGATAGTCCAGACTTTCGATATTATTCTCGATGCGTTTCTAAAACCCATGGTCAGGAAGAAAACAATATGACGGCCTCCAGACCCTCCCTCATCGTTATCTTTTAAACACATTACACAGTTTTTTTAAAGTGAATCAAACTTAAATCTGTCAACTAATAATAGTACCAAACAATGCACTTAGATTACTTGAGTGTCATGTAATATCTTTTCAGCATCTTCACTGGCCTAAAACAAAAAATGCTACATGACAGCCGAATTGAGTTTTATTTTGTAAGTGACAAAAGGAATTGACTTTTACAAACCAACCTGTCCACAAGGACAACTCTGGTCGAGTAGGTGTCGAAGAATTGATTCCTGCTGATTGGGCTCATGAAAGAGATAGACATTTTCTTCTGGGTCGTTATTCACCTCCATCGACATCTTTCAAGCATCGACTTATATGGTGGCTCGTCGAGGGAAACAAACAAACAACCACCGTCCTTACTTTATAAGAACTGCAAAAAAATCAGGTATCAATTTTACTAACGAGTGTACTAAATCTGAGCAGAAAAAGGAAGAGTAGAGAGCAAGCTGTCGGGGAATGGAGAAGACAGACGAGAAGGAGAAGGGAAGAGAAGGCAGAAAGCATATTTTGCCCATGAGATTTGCTCATTCACTAACTTACCAAGCTCAAATACACACTGTGTACACACACACAAAACGAATAGGTTAGGCGTGAAAAGTCATGCTGCTAAAATACGCATCGCCACCGATCTGGCCTAGAGGCCCAGTCGAATCGGTGATCGCAAATATGGTACAAACACAACCCATTCGTTAGCCTAACCCCACTGTTAAGCAATGCGTGACTATGTGGGTGTGGTTTTGTGCTACCTGCCTCTGTGTGTGTGCGTATGCAAATTTGCCGACCACCTCAACCCACATTGGCAAGGTGGAGTACAAGCCTATGCCTAACTCACCGTAAATCAAACATTCTCAGCCTAGTATTTTTATAAACCCTGTGAAGTGGTACCTATTGGTGAGGTGGCGATTAATGAGCCATTAATATGGAATTGGGAATGCCACCGTTGTGACGCTTTTCAGAGGATCCGTTTAGTCTAACTAAATTATTACCAAAGCACATCCCACTCTTACCCACCACCAACTCCGATTGATGATACTTGCTCAAAAATAATGTGCGAACAATCTATTAATCGATTTGTAGATTTTTGCGAGCTGGCAACACAGCTTGTTGTGAAAATCAATAAAAGGGGAGTCTTTATGGACGCCGTGACAGCCTTACTTTTATCGATTGAATTTGAGGTGAGGAGGTGGGATGAAAATGCGACTTTATTAATAAATTAAATCTTATGAATTTTTAGGCACTAAAAATCCTTTGTTACAAGTTAATAATCTTGAGACTTATTACCAAACATTTACATCATTACCGCAAACGACAGTGTCTCGCTCACTAGAAAACTTCCAGGAACGATGCGCTCTGCAACAAAAATCTTGTGCTTAACAGGATGGTAATGAACAAAGGGGCTTTTCATGCTAGCACACGTTGGAGGGGGTAAATGGGTTAGAATATCTTCGTCATAATTGGTTAGGGGTTGGTAAGGTGTGCGAGAAGAAACTACAGCTTTGAATTATGCGCAAAGCTTAACTTTGACAAAAAAGTTAAAAATATTATTTTTAAATTAAAAGTGTAAGCTGACGACCAGCTAATTGCAGAGCTTGCCTAGTCAGGCAAAGATCTTAAAAATCGTAGCAAGGTGACAGCCTTGGCTAGGAAATAATGCACTACATGGGTCAAAGTTGATTTATGGAGTCGATTTGAAATGACAGCTTTTATTCCTTAGCTCGTTTCGTTAGCTTAGTATTTCTCCTTCAGGACGAAAGAAGTCAACTTGTTGATAAATTGGCAGGCTTGCCAAATGCTACCAACTGGTAGAAAACTGTCATAAACTATGGTACACAGTGGGCTTATTTACTTTTTTTCCTAATTTCAACCTCCGCATGTCGTCTAAACATACCCAACTGGATCCGAGTTTGACTGGGCAGTAGATTAAGGAAAGGGAAGAAGTGAGAAAAGTCGGCCCGATAAGTTGCACTGTCATTGGTGCACAGCCATCAATGCAGCAGTAAGACATTCACTTCGTACCTCGTTTCATCTTAAGTAGAGTGCCCAACCCTCTTAAGAGTTTTTTCTTCCATTTCAAGGAAGCTGTAAAAGTCTTATGTGTGCAAGTGCAGTGAAATACGTACATGTTTGTATACAAAGATGTTCGAAGACAGCTTTTTTGAAGACGCAAATAAAAATCATGTAAAATAGAAGTTTAAGGATGTCGTTTTGCCTAGTCTACAACTAACACACACATTTTGGTGACATGTGGTCGCTTGGACAGTAAAAATGGACCTATGTTTTAGAGGCAGATCGCTGGTTTCAAGCTGCCAAACTACAGACAAATATAAGCTCATAATTTTAGTCTGGTTGTCTTAAAAATTTATTGGGTTGCAACAAATTAAAGAGAAATAGTTTTATATACAATGATTGCATCGGGTTTTACATCGGGCTTTTGTTTTTTTCTCCTGGATAGTAAACGAAGATTAATGCAGTATTTTAGGGGCTACAGGTAAATCCAATGAACGTAGTTGAACTTTGTCCATTTGGTTGATGCATTATCAATCACTGCCTCATTTTGGCAGTCACACTGACATCACAAATATAAGCTGTCAATCCCGTCATTATGTGTTTGAAAGTGGTTTTGTTATTCACCTATGGAACCGAGCAAAATAACGGCTCCCCCAAGCCCTTCGCTTAGTCAAAAGAAACTGTAATAGCAACCTAAGGAAGAACAGGAGATACCAATGCGATTGAACGACATGACGTAGAGCAAATGTGTGGAGGCTTAAGCACTTGCCTTATCAAGTCAAAAGCTAGTCGAAGCATCGAAGCATTTGTTTTTTGCAGCAGTCTAATGGAACATCTGGAAGCATCGTAAAAACTAGGCATTTGACAGGGCGAACGACAAAGCTCTTTGACTTAAGACACATAACTTACTAAACACTTCTAATTGCTGGAAATGGGTATTTTATGATCATTTACATATCAAAAGGAGGACTTGTTATTCACCAAACCAAGTGTTGGTTTCAAAGCTTGGCAACACCCTTACTCGGTAGTTAAATACGCCGTAGATTATTTTCTTATCCTCATTGGAATCTTGCCAAAGCAAAGTCAGATGCCTCTAGAGAAGTGGAAGCAAGAAAAGGAGGAAGAGGAAAGGAGGGGATTCTGCTGAAAGCGTTTGTTTTTGATCGATAAAAGCGTCAATACATCAACTGTTGCCAATTCAGTGACACTTGGATCGGTCGACAAGTAACTGTATTTATTATTAGAAATTAAGACTTCCGCCTTTACCTTTTATCGTTTTCGTCAAGATCAAAGGACAACAAACCACCTCAATGACTACATGGGGCAGTCAATTCATTTGGCTGGAATAAAGCAGATTTTACTACAACTGTGAGGTCGTGTGTGAATGTGTTTCGAATTTCACTTGGAAAATGAGGAAGGAAGGATATCTGTTGGAAATATGAGAATGTGAAATGGGCCTAACGGAATGCAGATCTTAACAACGCAATGCGAACTTAAAGGCCAGAGAGCAGTACTTTTGAGGAAGCATCACTAGACATTTGTGCGAAATAGCGATTTCACTTGGATTTTTGAATTTCTAAAAAGCAAGTGCAAAAAGAATGTGATAAAATGCGCGTTAAAATCCTTCTGTAAATGCCTTATTGGCAGGAGGACCTGTTGAATACCAGGGCGAACTTTGAGCATTGGAGTCTCCTACAGTTCTTGACTGACCTCTTCACACTCTTCCGATTTATGGTAAGTGATCAGCAAAGCCAAGTGACAATGGACAAAAAAAACATCAAAACGCTAGTGATGTTAGCCCTTCATAGTAATTATGACATGTTTTGCAACTTTTTTGAGCAGGAAGGTTGCTTAAAACAATCAGTTGAGTAGCAAGCCAAATGTCTAACTTTGTCATAAACTACACTCAGGAATGGCCGACGTGAGAGGCTGGCGAGTTCTATGAGAGCACAAACAACCTCCATTGGATACATTTGTTCCAACTGTTTTCCAAAACCACAAACAAAATTAATTTGGAGCAAAATAGATCAATTTTAATGTAATGCTTCGTTGATGTGACCACCCTTATCACTGGCGGCCAATATGGAACTTACTTTGCTCTTTTGAGCGTGAGTTGGCCAATCTACCCAATTCTCCTTGAATAAATGTATGCAGCTACACCTAGCACTTGCTTTTGATGTTTTAAAACGGGAACACTACCCCGATTGCTTCGTTTATAGCATAGAATCGAAGTTAGAAGAAGAATTTAAAAGAAACTTGAGGGAGCAATTAAAAATGAGGTAGGTTTCCAGCGTATAATGTTTTCAAAGTTCTGCCGTTTGATTGACACCCCATAGAGACAAAAGCGACAGCATTATGGTTCACAAGTAATACCGCTGAGCTTTATCTAACAATTCAGTGAACATATTTCTTTTCATGAGCGGAGGCGGAAGCCATGAAGTTGAATTACATAGTGTGACGGAAGGGGCTTTCCAACATACAAAAATTCTTAATCTGTTAAGCCACCATTCCACACCGGCTACGTGTCCTCCTCCATTATCCATCTTACAGCATTCGAACTCCCTGGTATGAAGTAAATCTTAACAGTTTTTATGGTCCGTAAGAGATTGCATAGGCTTTATTGGTCTAGTGACATACGCAACGCTCCTTCACAGGTACTTAGCATAAACTTAACATGTCCACCACCCCACACCAACTGTTAAAAAATGGCAAACTTAAGATCAAATAGAAACACAGGAACCATATGTAAGCTATTATGCATTTAAGTTACCTTTATAGGTGGGGCAGTGAGTGCGAAAGTCACGCTTGAGAAGCCTGTGGAAGAGACGCCCATCCTCTAATAGCTGTGACTGTACTTTCGCTCACCACTTTAGTCCATGTAATCCCGCAATAATGCCAACTAAGCCTTTTCAAGGAAACGCATCACCGGAACTTCGACTGCAGCAAGCTTCATTCTGCGCAGGCTTGATGATCCCCGAAAACTGGGATATTAGACATCGCGGTTAGCCACGATAGGCAGGGATTACTACTATGAGTGGGCTGTGGTCTTTTGCACTTTAATAAACTAGTAAAGCTGCCCAGCATCAATTTTAAGCCTTTATCATTGCACTGCGTAGAACTACTCGACAATCAAGCCAAACCGCCGACCCTAAGTCGCACTGTTCGTAAAATTGCAAACCTAACCATGAAAATGTGTGAAAGAAAGGCTTTAGAAAAACACTCGCAAGCTCTACTGTAAAAGTTGTTGATGCGACCACCTGCATATCTAGCGACCACTTTTGTGACAATCCGAGACCTCTCACTATGCAGAAGGCATTTCGTTGGGCAGAATGCATGTATTCAATGAGGAAATGAAGGAACAGCCACTTGGCATGGTCCGAAGGCCCGTTCATATGTGAAAGTGCGGTACGAATACTAAAGTTACTGGTAAACGTCAGTTAGTCGCATAAACAAAGTACTGCAACTCAGGTATTTGTCTTGCTCCTCTATGCTTGAGCTGACCTTCTAAACAAGTTATACTCCAATTCCTTTCTTTCCCGGGATGCACGCATTCCGACCAACTGAACGCCCTTTTCTACCTGATGAGAAGTCTTGTGTTCTACACCCAACTCCTATACTTATAACAAACCAGTTCACCGAAGCATTGTACAAAACAAAACTTAAACCATAGTAAAAAGTTTAAGAACATGGAAAGCAAAGAAACGATTCTCAACATGTGGTAGATAAATGAGGACGAAGATGGAAATTCCACACAGTTAGCACATTAAAGTACGGATCTTCCGATTGATTCAAAGGTAACATATTTTCGGGATTAACGCCGATAACATTGTAGCGCTCCAAGGCTTCCCACCAGGTAGCAGAAGACATAAAGTTGGGCTAACGGTGTGTATCTCAGGAGGATAAAAGAGACCCCCTGCCCGGCATGAAATCCAGCCCACGCGAATGGAACCAAGACAAATACCGCAATGCCGTTCAGACATCGGGTGGTTACATAAACAAGGTAACGCATCTGTGTTTATTAATGCATAATTATGCTCCTAATATTTTAAAAGGAAATTAAGAGAAAACTGTAAGTAGCAGTTATACAAATTAATAGTTTTATGAATTGAAAAACGCGATCGCTTGTGCTCCACACAGCTTGTTTGTTTTAGTTCTCGAAGATCAACCTATTGTAATTCCGCATTGCTTGTCTACGAAGGCGGTGTTACCAGTTATAGTGCCTTTGTTTCGCCTTAGAGCTTTTGCAATTTACATGCAGTATGGTGACCAGGTATGCAGAACCTCGCGTCGTACCGTCGATGGTTCCACCACCGTCCGCGCAAACTAAGGTTGGGTGCTGTCGGAAAGTTAGTTTATGCTGCTGCAGCTGCTGCTTTGCAGTTTGTGTGGTATTAGCAATCGGATTCTTCGTTGCTGGTGGACTCCTCGTTCACGCGAACAGGGATAGTAGCGATCTACTTGACGATGTCAGTGATTTCCTTAGCAATAACTTTCGGCAAGTTGAAAGTCGTGAAATGTGGTACGTTTATCCATGCATTGGGTTTTTGACAGTGCCCCTGCATATGATGCGCGACGTCTCTGTCTTCACGTAGGAGATGTATTGGCATCGGGTTGCTTGTTTTCGGTGGGATAATGTTTCTCTTCACAATCATAACCGGTGCCTTCGTGTGCTGCCTTACGCCGCGCAGTCATATCGTTCCACCAAGTGTCTACGTCGTAGCAGTATGTTTCGGAGATGTTTTAACTTTTCACGCTACTTTTATTGTTGAAGAATTTTTAAATACTTTGATAGCTAATGGCAGTTCTTGGCTCTGTCGAATTATCATTTCTTGCATCTAAACTAAAGCTATGCAGCCGCACCGGCTTGTTAAGAACATGTATACCGATGTCCGAACCTTCTTGAAGTAAGAGTCCTTGTTTCATTGCCTGGTCTTTTGGTTTATAACTCATGTTTGACACTTTCCTCTTGAGGACGCGACCATTTTTTCGCTTCATCACTTGCTGCACAAGGTCATCATTCGGTGCTCTGTTGAGCATCAGACTGTGTTCCTACTTTAATATGTGATCATTACTAGACGATGCACACATTTAATCCTGTTGCTGCTGTCATGACAAAGAAAGTGCGGTTTTGCCAAAAGTTGTCATAATTCCCGCAGGGATATTCTGTAGATGATTGCTTTGCTTTGCATTTTTTAATGTGATTCCTCTGTTTTATGCCTCATATGCCAGATGATCTGTTATCATGAGATCGCTCATCATTCAAAAGCGCAAAGTGGTAACTTCTTTTTCCACCCATACCTCGCATCTAATCATTAATTGCCATTGCCATGGTGGCGCGTCACTGGTCACAGCTGTCGAATATTGACTGACGCTTTCACATTTTTAACGCCTTGGATGCACTTTTGGTGAGCCATGTTTAGGGCCATATTATTTGGAACTATGGGTGCGGTAAATTGTAGTGTATGGGGAGAGTTTTGAGATCTTGCTGGGTTATTCGGCAGCAGAAAAGGAGCAAAGTTCTGATTGTCTGTAGACAGTTTTTACTGTCAAAAGGAGGCCTCTTCATAGTTGAATCGGCTTGGTGGTAGAAAATCAGTGCTTTATGATCAGGGATCACGGATGAATGGTATGGTGGGCGAAACAGCTGTGGGGAGTAATGCTGATCACGAAGAATCGTTTTCGGTTTATGTCACATGGAGATGTAGCCCAGCTGATTGCTTAAAGCAAAGTAGGTGATATCGATTGGAAAGAGTGCAATGTCAAAGGGGATGTTTCGCATTAATAGAATTGTGGCTGTAATTTCAAATCGCAGATGAGGCTTTGTGATACTGTGACTTCATAGATTCGGAGTCATAACTACGTAGTTTTGTCTGCTATAGTCACCTCCGGCTTCGATAAATTCACCCACATGTCCAGAACCATCACAGACGGCTCTCAACTCGTCAACCTATTCAAAAGCCACTGCGCCTCCGTTAGAACCGCCACCTGACTATGCTCCACCGTCTTACGAAAGTGTGGCGGCTTCCAAAGTGCCATAAATGTGGGAGTTTTGCATTCTCGCCAGATGTTGATGTTTGTCTCTGTTTTATAGAACAGGAAAGTTCCTCGTCCGGATTAATATTGCTCCTGTCAACCTTAAGATTAAGTAATAAAGAATTTTATAAACGTTTCGGTGTCCTTGCTATGCGCCTGTGCGTGGGTGTGGGGTCTATAATGAATTGAGTTTGGGGATTTCGCGGACAGGTGTACAGTTAGGTGCAGCCAAGCGTTGTTAAGGTTTTTTAGTTTCTATTTTGACATTGTGGGGGTAAGGTAATTCGATTTTGAAGAGGTTCTTGTGGCATTCGGCAGTGCCTTCTGCCATGGCTGCTAGTGGGTGATAGGACTTTTGGGTTGGCTTCAGTTGCTCATGTGCACATTAATCGTGGGCATGTGGAAGTGGGCGATCCCGATGCTACCGTTTTTTTTTGCTTAGTCAACCGTCGCGTCACGTCTTTTGTGGCTTAAAAAGGCTTGACTGATGGGATTTTGAGTCTGTCCTCATGAAAGGAAGTCAAAATAGGGTCTTGGATTCGTAGAAGTAGCTTGCAGCATGAGTCGTGTCTGTCGTGCAGAGGAAGTTGTGTAAACTAGTTCACATAGATGTAATTGTCAAGCAAACGGACATAATCCAGTGAGCTGCATTCTGTTTGCCTTACCGTTATCTGTGCAAACCCTTTTCAGCATCACCGTCATCTATTTTGAGGATATCGCCATTGAGTTGGCAAGTAGAAGAGGGATAGAATTGAGTTATGGCTGTATAGTTTTTACTATCGGGAATTTTCAGACCAACTTCGTTCTGTTCAACGCTGAAGCAAGAGAATACCTGACTTTTCGGCGTGCTTAGCAAGTATGACCAGAAAACAAGCAAACCCTACGAACTCCAAAGTAGCAATTTTACCCAGCATAACTACCTACCGTCTTAATCCTGTTTGAAAGCGAGGGACAGTTTTGTCTCATTCTACGACCTTAGGTTGCCAAGTGCATTAGCACGCAATGCCCTCCTAGCTGTCTGCCCAAAGGGATTCTGACGAATCAATCCATCATTTCGTCAACTCGCTAAAAACAATGACAACGTAACATTTACCCAAAAGCGAGAACATAAGTGGCGCGCACAATAGCACATGCTGAATTGCAAACGCAAATCTGCCACATGGGTTTGGCAGTACTGAATTAGCCATCCACAAATGCGTGTATAATGTGATCGCAATGATCGTTCTACCCATTGGCGATTGGGCTGAGGGCATTGTTAGCGGTGGTAAGCGAAGGCACTCACACTAGCGCGGGTGTTTGGAGTGGTTTTTATGAACATATGCATGTTTTTAAGCATTCGATACATATGTATCTTGGGTTTTACATTTTGATGTCATCATAATTCCCAAAGGATGACTCAAGAATATCAAAAACCTATCATACAACTCGATAGCCTGCAAGAAATAGAGACAATCGATTACTGGCTTGCACCCTTGCTAAGGTTTTAGTTCTCACAATCCGACCAATATTTCAGCCCCCTAGATGAACGTATAAGGGTGACTTCGGCTAAGGGAGTACATATGAAAGGAGGAGGACAGTCTGCCTTGATTTTATTACAAAGAAGAAAGCATAACTTTGGGGCGTCTTAGAGGAACCCGTTGGCGTAGTTGAGTCGTTCCACGAATCCATTTACTAAAAAACGACATGAGTGAATCGATCATAGAGAGTAAATATGAATAATAGAAATAGATGGGGTCCAATTTGTATGAACTGTACCTCATTTCCTTCAGGAGTTGTATGGTTAGGGAGTTCCGCACCCTCAATGGCATCGGCCGCCAAGTCCTCACCTTCAGTCTCCTCTTCACGCTCTTCTTCACTCTCATTTGCATCTTCCTCATTATCTTCATGCTCATTTGCCGCCGCCGTCGCTAACACCGTGGCTACTGCCTCCGTCTCGTCCTCTTCTTCTTCGTCCTCCTCCTCCTCCTCCTCATCGTCGTCACCTGCTCCGTTTAAGGACTCCAGTCTTCGACTACGTTCGTTGTTATCGCGCTCACGTTTGCGACGCTCCTCCTCAATCATGTCAAAGAAATCCTCTTCTACTTTGTTTAGAAGCTCCTCAGGAGAGAGTTCTTCTACCGAAGCCTCCTTCTCTTCTTCCTCTTCCTCTCCCTCCCTTTCCTTCTCTTCTTTATCTTCAGTCTTCTAAATAAGCATGAAATAATTCATTGGTTGGTTGGTTAGTTGAATGCATTCAGAAAGCCATTTGGTAACTCTGGTAAATATGTTTCATTTGGTTCGTGTGGATGTGACAAGCGGATCAAGTGGACCGTTCTATGCACTTTGGCATTTAATGGGTAGAGCTGTTACTTAATTATTCTACAACAATGCATTAGAGAATGGCATTGCTTGAATGCAGCATTTAAAAATGAAATATTTCAACCATTAAACCGCCTTTTTAGTCACTGCTCATCTTAGAATAGAATCACGAGTCATAGAAGCTGATTGCATATTTTTTTCGTAATTTTTGGGTTGAGACCTATGCTCAGCGCAGTTTAGATTCCTTCAATTTTTGATGCAATCGATCCTCGAACTAACTTCCCCTGCCGTCTCCCCATCTGTCACTTCTTTTTTCTCTACATTTTCAATGGGGACTTCAATAGGTCGTGAGCCTTGAGTGGGTGCAGTTGGGCCACCTGCAGCTGCAGCTTCTGCCATGGCACGCTGCTTCTCCTTCACTCGGAGTTCCTTGGCTCGTGTTTCGAGAATTTTTTCTCGATGCGTCTCCCGTTCAAACATGGCACCTACTGTGGCCTTCTCATTCTTTGCTGCAGTAGTAAACCCTCCTGACAGTTCAAGGATGGTCGTAACCCCAGAACGAGAGCCCACAGCTACTAGTTGACCCTCTTCGTTGACACGGACACAGTGAAGTGAGTCCTCTGATATCTGTGATGAGATGGAAAGTATCGGTGAGAGTGGAATACTAAAACGCTTGGGAGAATTGTAATAGGCAAAGGGGGACGAGAGAAAGGAAAGGGGAACAAAAAGTAAAAATAATCTTAAAAGAGAAGGGTAGAAGTTTCACGAGGTATTTTGTTTGTGTATCAAATTTTTTTAATAAAGCGCATAGGTTTTCAATGGGAACATTTAAATAGTAAGTGTGAAATACATAAGAGGTTTCTCGAATCAAAGTCAACATTAAATCACGCTTGAAGATGCACCGATTTTGCCTTGATTGATTTTGTAATTTTCCATCAGAAGTTGGTAGTGCATTCAATTAATTGTCCTGTTTATACAAAATAAATAGAAGTTCATGCTTAAAAGTGTTAATTATCCCCTCATGATTACATTCCTTCGCTTGTCGTATGCATAAAAAGCTACTTGCAGTATCTGTTTCCATATCCTTGGCGATAGAAGAAGCTCTACCTTAATATTTAGCGTTGGCTCGCGCTGCTTGAAGACGTAGTCCCACAGCTCTAGATGTCCATTCAATCTTGTCATGAAGAATAACGCTGGTCGAACTGGACTCCAGCATCCATCAGTAGCCCCTACAATAGGTTAGCATAACATGCTACTTGCTGAAAAGGATAGCCCTTCAATTACATTCCATTAAAGTAGACCCACCAGAATCATGATAGGGCGTCCACATTATGGGATCATCTTTCATATCCTCCGACCAAATGCGAGCTGACCAGTCACCCACAGAGAGGAAGAACTTAGTGAAGAAGGGATTCCTTTGCAAGGCATAAACTGGACCCTTATGACCAGGAAACACTGCCGCCACCTTCTCAGCAGGCGATTTTCCCTTCCTATTGCAAGAAATTATCATCCCCTAAAGAAGATGTTTTTATATTTTAGAACATAACGCTATGCTTTTCGTGGACGCACAAGTTTTTTGGAACAGTTATACCTGTTCAGTGCCAGCCATGAATTTGGTGGGGATAGTGGGCTCGTATTCCAGTGCATAGGCACCAATGGAGCAGTTTAGGTCCTGATTCTTTGTTGGATCCAAATAAAGAATCTCCATGGGCTCGTTCATCTTGCGTACATCCCACCACAGCACTTGACCATCAGTGCTGGTGGAAAAGAACTCAGTCCCCGTCTTGGATTGAATCCAGATTACTTGCCAAGCAGGATCTCGGTGGCTGTTTTCCACCGGCGAGGATTCCACTGGAAAGGACCCCTTGCGACGGTCCCAAAGACCTTTTGCAGCCAGTATAGAATATGCACGCTTTAAAACTGCTTCAGGGCTGATTCAGGTAGCTATAGTGACTGTAGGAGTAGACCGTTCTGTCCAGACAAACAGGTGCTTATCATAGTTAAGCGAGGAAAGACAAACTTTGTGCTAGTGGCTGAACCAGTGTAGGTCCACTGAGATTTTATAATCCCAAATGGCATCCACAAATGAGTGAGTAAAAGTTTGTCTCAATATACTCTTTATTGGACATTGCTAAGCCCAACGTTTAATGAAGAAGCGTCCACGTTCTACAATGTTGTCGTTCATTCAGAAATGAGTTCAAGTGAATGCATGCCAGCACTAAATATACTTCGAAACCTAAAACCAGTTCCATCGCATAAGGCAATATGCTGAAAAATAGACAAAAAAGAGGTATATTATGCATAGAACCTGGATAGGGGGTATGTACCAACGCGTCAGAGCGAGGTTACCAGTTGCCTGATTATCAATGGTCCTACAGTTTAGGCTATATCAATAACAAATCACTGCCCAGTCAATATCAGCACAGTTTGCCCATTGGAGAAGGGCACACGAAAATGGCTCGGATACTAGTAAGGAATGCAGTGATGAGTAATTTCGCTATGCTGGCTCTCCAGCCTCCTTGATTTGACTATCACACCAATGTCTTGCCGCGTCCATGGTATCGAACACTTTTGATCCCGAGGGTTTTCGCGCACAGCAAACACGCATTTACAACGGTACACCTCCGGGGGGCTTTATGTACAATAGGATCAAGTCCTAGCCGTAAACTATAAGGTTACAACAATGACGTAGCAATAGTAACTGCAACTATAATGAATGTGGTGTACGAAAGAAATAAACTCACACAATTGCCCATTATGGCATCCTCCAACAAGAGAATGCGTGTCTTTTGGATTAAATTCAACACAAACCAAAGATGAAGGAGGTGAAAGGACTAAGTCTGGTCTGTTAGGATTGGAAAAATCCCATATATAGGAGTCCATGGATGTATTTATATCATTTTCCAAAAAGCCTATATTGCTATAGGCAACGGCAATTTTGGTTGGTCCCTCTGGAAACCAGCTAACATAGGATGCTGTCCGCTTAGTATCATTTATGTCACTAGAATTAAAAATCGTGAATACATCATAAGCTACCGAAAAACATTTACAAGCCTCGCTGACGGAGGTTCCTCTGACGCATCATTTTCGGTGTCATCAAAATATTCCTCATAGATATTGAGCGCATTATTCTGCTTGATACAATGTTCAACCGACTAGAAAATTTTCGGATATCATGAGCACCTTACACTGGCCAAAGTATTGAGCGCGGTTGCGTAAAGTTCGTCTTTTTCGATTTTTTTCCGGTACCTCTGAACTTGTTCCGGCTCGTTATGATTAACATCTTTTGGCCAGCCACCTTCAGTGTGATTTATCCCTCGGACTTCTGATAAGACACGTTCCGTGTTGACTTCATGTTCTGACATCTCACTCGCATGCTGGATGCCACGGGAAACAGGATTCCGAAGTATAAATTGTTCAGCTAATTCCGGGTTCGGAGGAATGTCTGCATGGATTTCGGAAGCACGGTCAAAGAAGTTGCACTGTTTTCCGAAATCGGCTCTTTTTCTAGTGTAAACATATCTTATGTTCATTGCTTTGAATAGTTGTCCTACAAAAGTTATACGAGGTAATCTATTTGGCTTGCACTTGCACAAAAATCGGTCACAAAAGCGGCAAATGCGTAATTATTCTCACGTAAATAACGTATATACTTATTCCGTATGAAAATCGGCCTAGCAGTTTATGCCCAAAATCGATAATAAGTGCATCGACATGGCATAACAACTTTATCGCTAATGCTTACGAAATTAAAGATCCGGGTATGATCTCTATGCACAATGGTGCATGCAAAAAATTGAGATTAACTTCAATTAAAGTTTTATCGCAACAACTGACTCCAGAAAAAATTAATCTTTTTTTTAAATTCACACGAGCAAATAAACAAAAGCTGTACCCCAAAGCAATTTGTCAGTATAAGTCTGCTTTTCTGAATGCAAGTTCAACCCACCAACTACAGCCCTTGTTAACTACGATCCTATTCTCCTAGTCATTCCATCCAGGGTGCATTGTCCCACATTAGTAATAGAACTGATCCTCAGCACCCATTTCTAGCCCTTTTGGGGTACCCCATCAGTGCGCATCCCGCGTTTCACAGAGGCCAAAATCCCATCCGTGAATTGATTAACTTCGAATGCGGGTGATCATACCTTCACACTACCAAACAGGGTCTTGATGGGCACCGCTGAGTTATTTTTCCAGTATTTGATTCATAAGGGCAGAAGGATTGTTCTCTCTGGTCAAGCGGGCAAACAAGCGAATCCTCAATCCGTACTCTTCAGCGAGGCGGTTATATGCAGTACCTGCGATGCTTTATTTATACAATCTCGCGATACCTGGCGGCCACGTCGGTATTTACCCCGGCCCGACCTCAGCCTTCCTAGAGTGCACCTACTCAGCTCAAATTAATGCTTTGCCCCACCCACTGGGAAATCTTAAACCCCTATATTGGTGGCAGCGGGAAGCGAACCTAACACCTCCTAACGACTTCATCCTACTATCCATTGTTTGTGACATGTATACGGCGCAGAGGAGGAGCACATACTTAATGCGACCCTTTCACCGACTTATTCACGTCAAAAGGGTAGGAAACGATGTCTGCGTTCAGCTCAACCTTACCTCCGTGTTCTACAACAGACTATCACCTGAAGATGTTTTGCATCGAGATTCCCCTTGCCACATCCACGCATAGATGTCGGATGTCCGGATTCTCTCTCATGTGGGACCCTGTTTGACTCCGTCTCCCCTGCTAAACATCTGTTCTAGATCGGTGTTTCAGCGTCTAATCCTGCGCACCATTGATGTTAAACAGAAAATCCTCACTATGAATCTTGGCCTCAGACCAAACGCCACTGCAGATCTAGTTGAAGCTGCTGAGACCAAATGATAGTATCAGGTGAATGATGCAGCTGGTTCGTGGGTGGCATCGAATATGCTGTAGTGGCCGGCGCAGGAGGTGTACCGAGAGGCACGTCGAGAACTTCATACGAAAGAGAGATAGCGTAATACTTCGTTCGCGTGACTACCCGGCGTCTGCCTGTTACTTTGGTATTCATCTTGGCCTTGTACGGATGAGCCGGCCTTCGGGCTAGAATGCATGTATTCAGCCCAACTTAATGCCTTCTTCGACCTAACGGGAGGTCTCAGAGTGCTACAGTACTCTTGAACGTATCCATGTAAAATAACCTCATGGATGTATTTCCATAGTTTTCTAAACTGATATATGAGGCGAGACAATTAAAATCAATGAGACTCATCGACTCGCCTAATGCAAAAATCTGCCTTCGTCCGCATACATCCTCCGAGCAAATTCAGTTAATGAGATAGACGTGAAGCACTTTAATCTCCAGAACCACAGCAACTGACAAAGGGCGTCGCTCTTTATGTATCACACGCTTTTCGACGCTCCTCCACAGACGTTTCTAAAACTGAAAGGTCTCGATTCAAAGTGGCACCCAAAGTGGGCAGAGGAGTAGGAAACAAAAAAAAATAGGAACCACATACTTGAACAGACGAAATTGATTTCGAACATTTTTTGGGAATGGAAGATCTTTAACACGCTGCTCCAGATTTGACCACGCATCAACTTCACTATCTGAGAGGTGAGGCGAAAGCAACAATGGCCCAATTTCAATTATTGGAGAATTGAACACAAATACGACCATGAACAAAATATATAGGACAAAGGTTCCATAAAAAGGTGTTCTACAGCAAATTTGCAGGATAATCAACAAGCGTCACCGTGCATTATGGATCATGTCGACAAACGTAGTGTTGTATATCAAATAAGTGGGCAACCTACTCCTATGCCTTTGAATGTCGCTATTATCCTGTTAAAGATTAAGCTCCAAACAGTATTTCCTGTTTATTGCTATTCACCAGGGGAGGTGGGCACCTGAGCGCCTTACCCAATTGGATTCGGGCCATCAGTCGTTGCAAAATTAATCGTCGGCAGAGAGTCTTAAGTTCGAGGACACCTTTCAAGGGAGAAAAAAAGGCGAAATTAGTACCGATTTGACACTCCGAGTTCTTTATTCCAACCACCTGATCCCTCTGTTTAGTAATACTTGTTCCCAAAATGACGTCAAATGAAGATCAAATAATCAATTCACCGAAGCTCACATAGGAGGTAAACACCTTGTGCTTTTGTTTATTTATTGTAGGTAAGTTTTAAGGCGCTAAATCCGTTGTGACAACGGATGAAATGAGAGTGGCTGAAGAAAGAGCCAAAGACGAAGTTCAGTGAGTAAGGCTGGGTAGTGAGTCAAGATTTTCCCAATTCCATAATTGTTCGCCGCCTTGGCATCATGGCGCCCCTTCCATGTAGAGCCACCAAGCTCCTTGAGGCAATAACAACAAAGTAATTCAATAACCTGCCTTACCACGCCTTCAGGAGTGACCTGCGTATCTTACTCACATTGTCTCAACTTTCGTAACTGAATTTAAAGCACAACTATAAGTAGAAGAAGGCCACCTACCATGTCTTAGAAAACCTACGAACTGCATTTCAATTTCAGCGAACCCCCAAGCAGTGGAGATGAAAGGAGAGAGCGTCACACTGGGAACATCCAAACGCTCCAACCAAACCTCTCGACGGAGAGTACGTGCCGCACTCGGCGGCAGCTCAGCAAAGTGGTAGGTCAGTGAAGCTTCAAGAAGTCGACAACCGGTCCAACGCACTCCCAGAGTCATTGTAAAGTCAGCAGCTGGTAGACCATTGACTGTAAGAAAGGAGCTAGCTACTGATTGATATCAGTGAGTCGTAACTACTAATATTGTAAAAGCCGAGGGAACAAAACAAAGTTGCAAACGAGTCCACAAAATCGTGGTTGTTAAAGTAATATTCATTGAAAGACACAAGAAATCGCAAACATAATGACAGCAAAAGTAACAGATGGTTGAACATACAACTGTGCAATTTAGCATTAAATGAGAAGATGAATTACCCTGAGTCTGAGCATCTAATCGGCTGGGGGAGCAATGCGCGAGATCCCAGTACAGCAAGCGATCAAATGATGAACCCGGAGTATTTGGATGGATTGATATACCGACACAGGCGCAAGTGCCACGACAAATTTCTGGCCAGCAGATGCGCCATGTCGCAGCCCGAATGGGGACCAGCGACTCCTCTGGTAGAATGATGAAAGGCAAGGAGTGGGCAAAATCGATACGAATTTGTGGTAGTCCTCGTCCTAACTGCAATTCAACCTGAGGCGAGTGATGAAGTTGCTTAAGTTATTTGCTTACGTACTGGGAAGGAATTTGTATCAGGGAGGCGAAGAAGACGATGGGGCTGTCTATGAGACTTGCGATATTGTGAAGGCTGATTGTCATCCCATGTAGGGAGATCAGGAGCGAGAACAACGTGACTGTCTTGACCATCGAGAATAGCAAAGGCCTCCGGGTTCAGTTTTTCAATGTAGGTTAACATAACGATGAACTGTGCTAAAAATGCCAATCAAAATTTTCAGACATGAAAATTCCGAAGTGTTTGCAGCAACTGCCCATCCACTTTTGACAAGATCCAAAGAGAATGAAGACCGGAAATAAGTGAGATGCTAATCCCAGTTTTTGGAGGAATTAGTGCCTGTTCAAAAAGGACAAGTCAAGGAAAGCGTAACGAGTTGTGTACCCAGGTTGCATCATCACAAGCAGCTGATGGCAGCAAAGGCTAAACGGTCGCAATAGTTCGCACTGACCAATACAAAGTCGAGCGATTTAGTAAGAGTGAAATTAGGATCCCTATTTAATTAACTTACTACAGCTTATGACATCTAATATTCGTACTACTACAGTTCTAGTTTAATGCTGCTGACTCGAATCATGAAAATGTAAAACTTAGATTGATTCACCACAGTTAGGCAAAAGGCAGCCAAATCGTCGCTATAGCACACTGTTTACCAGGCTGCCTTTATGACTGCATATTACTTTGATATATGGGATGGCCTTTGGGACAAGCCGTAAATTATTTTTTCCTAAATCTTCCCTTAAATGCATGTGCTTGGCCTCAACATATTGTGTTCCACTGACTGAGAAGTTTTGGGATGCTGGGGCAAAAGCGCTTATACTCAGCCAACATAAAAGAGCAAAGTTATGGCATGGTGGATAAATTGTAACCTACAATGAAAGTTAAACAAGCTGCAATGCTCTTTCTATGTAATAATTTGATATCTGACCACTGCTCTGGTATATTTTATCCCAACACGCGTAAGCTGGACTTAGGATCAGGCCAACACCCCATCTCTTCTTTTCCACCTGGTGGAAGTTTCGTGGGACTAGATTGGTGGCAGCGGAAAGCAGAATTCAATATTTGATTATTTTATTATCAACCGTTCGTGACTAATAACTACGGCGCAGCGAAAGCGCATTTGCTTTGTCTGCATTTGGCTCCACATTGATGTCGTGTGCCACGGAAAAACTAGCAGCAACTGAAGCGACATCGAAAACCTTAATACTACTGTAGCGTCCCGAGGCTCTAAATGGGGTAGTAGAAGGCATAAATGAGGTTGAATACATGTATTCCGAAAAAAATAGGAGGAATGGGGCCTGAGAGTGGCCTGAAGGCCAACCCACGTGTACAGGACCCAGACAAGCTCTAAAGTGACCGCCAAACGTCAGATAGTCACATAAACAAAGCATTACAACTACATCCGGGTATGGATGTCGCCGATGAAGCCACATCGAAAGCCTTTCATGTGGGGCTGCTTTTGATTCCGCATTCCATCTTGAATGTTTGTTTTAGATCAGTGCTCCAACACCTATTTTTGGACACCATTAGCCAGCAGCAGAAAATTCTCACCTTGATTTCCTGCCCTTAGGCCGAACGTAGCCCCAGGTTTGGTTGAAGCTGCATATGGGTCTAAGTATTGTTCTATAGTCTAATGGTAGTTGATGATTGGCGCGAATGGTCCGTGAGTGGTTCCTTTTTACACCGAACATGTTGTGATAGATAGTATGTCACTCAGGAAAGAGAAGCAGTGAGATGCTTTGTTTATGTGACCATCCAAATCCGGCTGTTACTTTGGCATTCGTTTTTTCCTTCCATGAGTGGACTGGCCTTCGAGCCATACCAAGACTCCGTCCTTCTTCTTCTTCTTATAGAAGGCATGCATTCCGCTCAACGTGTTATCTATCAAATAGAAAGTCTAGGTGCGCTACAGATAACCCAACTGAAGCAATTACACATAAATATGAGCTCAGCATTAGCGAGTTTTGTGCATTAAATTTTGATCATCTTTAAAAGAAAGTGTGAAGGGACCCAGTTTTTTATTTATGTTTTCTTGTAAGCTACTAGTACTACGAATGGAAATTTTAGTGAATAAAATAACTTGGATTCAGTATTACCTTTCCGTGTGGACAACACTCGGGCTATCGGTTAGTTATCCATAATCTCGGCAATAATGTTGAATTAATGTTTTTGGTGTTCTGGACAAATATTTTCTTGGTTGTCTTATGCTGTAATGCGTTTTCATTTTACATAATTCCAACGCCGATTGGCTCCTTTCGTTGAGCGTCCGCCCGTTTTCTTTTATCATTATCATGTTTAGTGGTTTTCTGTTCTAATTTGCGATATGCCAAACTACATTTATAATTACGCAAACACCAAGGATAATGAGCACCTGCTTTATCGAATTAAGATGGCTTCATTCACGGGCTATTATATTGGTAACTATATCTGGGACGCTCACCTATTTTATTAGGTTCCTTTAATGCGGCTCTCACCTACCTCCCTGCTCTATTGAGCGGTCGTAATGTGTATGGGAGTGGTATTAAGGCAGTTCGTATACTGGCTCTTGGGCGTAATTTTCAAACTTAGACGTAACTTTTCTATTAGTCTCTGCCGGTGCTGTACACGCTATCGCCAGTTACGCCAGTGCGAAACTCCTCAACAAAGAGCATAGTCCATTCAGCCACGCAGTAGGAGGTGCTGCTGCCGCTTTCCTTGTTCGTTACAAAGGTGATAAGATTGAATTTGCTTATTTGATTTTCCATTACAAGTGATCAGCTTTTTATTTTGATTGTAGCGCCTTTCGCTAGTCAAATGAACATGGTGCTTTGCTTCGCTACCCTCTCTGCAATAGGCAAACTGTGTGAGATGGTGAGACCACGATTCGCCAACCAAAGTATTGGTCGTTGCCGTGGTTGTGTTCCCAATGCCTACATTTCACTGAACCATCGCTACATGAACAGAAAATGGCGGGAGGAGGAGGAGGAATTGGAAAAATTCCTGTAGATCTTTGGGACTTGCTATGCGATAGTCTGTAACCGAGATTGATGCCAGTAAAGCAGCGTAGTTTGGCCTTCTTTCTCTCTTGTCACCTTTTCAGATGCTTTGTTTCCAGATCATTTCTATCCCATACAGATCATGAAGCTCTAATTATGCAAGGCTCAGAATCTATCCATAACTTGGTTCGTGTTTCGGTCGCATATCCGCGACTATGCCGGGTCTGTGATGATTACATCATAACTCCACGATGTGCAGCCCGACAATGTATCACGTGCGGGTGTCTTCTTCATGCCATCTGTGCCGGTAGGGCGGGGAGTTGTCAGGGATCTTCATCTACTCTCGCCGCTTCTGGCATCAAGTCTTCAGAAGATAACGAGGCGGCGGACGACGCTGATGATTCCACTGGCGTAACTCTCTCTGATCAGGTTTGTTTTTTTATTTTTCGTATCTTACTCTGGTCTGCGGGCTCTTTACTAGAGACCCGTTACGAGGCATTCATTCTTTGGGAGTCCTATGCACCGATTGGGTTTTATCTTTAGTTTTATTAGTTTTGCATTCCTTATCCGTGAGCTGTGCAGAGTATCTGGTTATTTTACTAGCACCCCAAGGGATTTGTTCTTTTTTTTTGAATTTTACTCTCACGTCGTTTACCACGTAGCTTTATCAGTATGGACCAAAATTAATGTGAGGCTCTGACGAGTCGACTGCATCTTCATTTTCCTGCTATCAGCCTCTTGCAAACTGGTCAGTCGAGCAAATTCTTCAATGGCTGGTCGTAGTTGGCCTCTCGCGCTACGCTGCCCTCTTCCTCTCCTATAACGTCAATGGCGAGACATTGCCAGGCTTGTTAAAACCCCTTAGTCCATTGGACGATATCAAAGATCCTTTTGCGCGCCATGCTTTGAAACGGGCCATAATGGTAGGTATCGCTGCTTGCATAATTTGAGTAGGTATGATTTTATGAACATCTGCAACCGTTTAGACCCTCACTGGAGATATCCCCTCACCGGCCGATAGAACGTTTTCCTCTTCGAAGCACCCTCCTGACGCACCACATACTGATATGCATTTGCAAAACTTTGCTTGTGAATTGGCGTGCTGCGTCTGCGGCCTCCCACTTTTGGGTGAGTTGCGTTAAGGGCTAGTTCTTGTATGGCTAGTTTTGGCGAAGTGGTCTGAAGTGGTTCATCCAAAACAGGCATGCTTGATCTCAAACCAAAATTCTCCTCTCTCATTGTCGGCTAAAATATTTTCATTCTAGCAGCGCTAGTTGATCTGTTCATGTTCACTGCCCTATTGAAAAATATTTTCACTATGCACATCTACCTAACGAAAACGCTTATATTTATTGTTTAATCTCATTATTTGCAGATCGTACCTTAGCACCTTTTGGAACTTTCTTTAAGCCTTTTCTGAATCTAAAATTGGTGCTTTCAGAATGAGCAAGTACTTGGTACTAATCCATGTCTATAATCACACGCATGGCCAGAGAGTTACTACAGCTAGATATATAGCCAGGCCTGATCAGTCGTAGAGAATTTATCCGTTTGTTTAAGTTTTTTTTCTCTCGAAACGGTGCTTGATATCGTTGATGACTGCGTTGGAAAGCATTATAAACAGATAAAAGGAATAGGTTTTCTCCGTCTAGGTTGCAATGGTCAAGGTTTATCGGAGATCCTGGTCGCAAATTAAGAGGCCATGACGAAAAGAAATTTATTTTCCAACCGTTTATCTCTTCCCGTTCTGCAGGACTAATCTCTCAGGGTTATCAATGTATCGCCTGTGGCAGTGCCTTCCATCGCATTTGTCGCGTCTTCACTGAAGAACATCCAGCCTGTCCAAACCAATTATTAGTAGAATCGCTACTCTTACCGCAAAACAATCTAGATTCACCCCCAGATTTCAATTTGGATCAGGCAGGTGGGACGCTGCCTGTTGCGGCACCAGTTATAAAGCACACATACTTCACCATCCCGCTCGATAAACAAGTGAGTGAATGGACTTTAACAACCATCCATTTGTTTTCCGAACCTCTCGCGTACCGCGTCAGCATGGAGTCGCTTTTGGATTGCTTGTTGTTGTTGTTTCCCTGTTCATTAAGCAAGCAAACGGTTTTCTATAGTGATTCGCTCGTAAGTTGTGATCGTCATACAATGAACATACAATGAACTTCATGAACTTATTTCTGCTTTCTCATTCTTACACTCGTTCACTGTCATTTCTCCCACGTCATCATCGATTCATACATGAGCAACTTATTGTAGCAACTCTTAGTGGTTCTTCAATGATTGCTTAGCAATATGTTAAAAGATTTCAAAACTCATTGCTAACTTTTCATATCGTATTTGTAAGTCACCGCTTCGAATTCCATCCCCAGTGATGAGATTTCATTCTAAACCCTCTGGGTACTGTTCTTGTTTCACAATGCATGTTTATTCACTGTTTCGCAGCAAAGCAAAACCCAAATGATTTCGTTTTCCTGTAGTTATGCACCGTTTTTATGATTTCGTCTATGGTTTCCGTACGTCCAGGTGTCTTGCAGCACTGCTTCAAGATGCTCTTTTCATCGAAGTCATTCAACCATCTGATGTAGCTCCCAAAAGGTTTTGGTCTCATTCGTTTGTAACCTTCTTTATGTTAGATTACTGATGCTGACGAGGTTCCAATATTCCTCTCCACTGCTACTCGCATTTTCGAGCAACTGGCGACTCACAACGCCCAGGAGACTACAAATCAGCGTCTTTCTCAGCAGCCCTCATCTTCATCTGTTTCATCAAATTCCGTTTTGCCGATGGTAAACTGTGTGGATGTATACCGAGCCTCCGCGACCGGTCGGGAGCTCTTCGAGCTTGAGTGTGCCTACGCCGATTGTCTACCCACCGACCTGGAGAAGATGACGTCAGTTTCAACGGTACAGCGGTTGGTTCGACTAGCGCAGATCATCAAACGTTTTCTCAAACAACTACCTGAACCTGTGATTCCTGCAGAAATGTACCAGAAAATCCTGGACTTAGTACCTGACAACAATAGCAGTTGTGAATCCGCCATTCCTGGTGATACTTGTGAGTGTGTGGTGCTAGCGCCTTGTGCTTTATGTTACGAACTTTTGCCACCTCTGTAAGAGCGGTTAAAGTTTGAGTGTGCAGGCCCAATGGTCGTGTCATGGAAACCGCCAAACTGGTCGAGTCTAGGCCTGAGTCAAGGTTCAAATCTACGTTTAATTCGCTCCGTCGGACAGTGGCGATCCTTAACTTGAAATACTTATTTGAACTTTAAAAGTGCAACAATGGTGACTAACACCATTCACTGTGGGTTCGCATGAGCGACGGCTTCTGTGAGATTTAGGAACATAGCTGCGAAATCAAAAACCAAGTTGGACAGGAACGTTACTATAGGTTAAACGCACCCTTAGCACTTCTCTTCAGTCTTTGTGAGATCATTTTGAGCTGAAAATCGAGTGCCATTCTCGGTACTATGGCATTTTGTCCATATGCTTCTCTTCTATTTTGGTAGTTTTTCATTTCTAACGCAACCATCTAGCTAACAGTTTACCATATGTTTAATGCAATTACAATAGTATTACAAATGTATGCATATAAACACGTTTTTCACGGGGAACCGGCTAAAACGCTGATCCACTTAGGATATGCTTTTATAATTATATGTAAGGGTACCTCGAAATTCTGTCTTATTTTTCATAATACCTGCAGGCAGTTAGAGTTGTGTAATACATTGTTTTTTTAGCCAAAAGGACATGACTTGTCGCCTTTGTTCTAATCTCCAATATTGTTTTCTGATGGCAGGAATTTTAGGTTTTTACTTCGTGAGTGAAATAAGGTATAGCCTGAGGTCCTCTCGCAGGCTTAATTACGGGGAAAGGTACAATGTTGTCTTAGAGAAATCGTCCCATTCTAAAGTGATGGACTTATAGTGGTTGTTTTTGAACGTGAAAGCGTTTCCGAACAATATGCTCTACTTTATCTCACGCGCAACTGTTTTAGACTTAGCTTGAACGTTCCTTGTGCAGTGCTTGTCCCGTTAAAAAGCTATCCAGTAATCTTGTTTCGCACCTCTGGACTAATGTGCTTTATTCATACTTGCGTCCTGCAACTTCTTTTGGTAGCATTTGTGGTCAAGTTCACTTCACCTATATCCATTTTAAACCGTCCCGGTCCTTTAAGTAATGCGGTTCCATGTTTTGTACTACGGCTCCTTTCATGAAAAAGATTTCGACGCTTCATATGAATCGTTGTTTTCCATCGCTTTTTTTGCATCACTTCTCTCTGCTTTATTAAGGAAAATCGTCTTCCTTTCGAATATTAAACTCTTAGTTAGAGTGCATTATTTAACTTAACGCTATGTAGCGTTAGCACTTCCTGATCGTATTTTCTGTTTAATTTTCAGCTGGTCTTGAAGAATTTCTCTCTTGCCTACCCCCTCCCAATTTCGCCACTCTTCGACACGTGATGCAACACGTCGGATTTATCCTTTGTCACCAACGTCTGCTCAAGGTTCGCCTCTCTGTTGGTCATCTTCGACAGACTTGTGTCTCTGGTTCTGGTGCTGCTAGTAGTACCATCGATAATCTTGACGACCCTAGCCTCATTCTCTCTATCCTCGCTCATGTCCTCATGCGACCCACCTGGCGTCGTGTGGTTCTTCTTGCCTCACCTGATGGTGACTTTCGACGCCTAAAAGCGCTAAAGCTTCTCTTTGAACACTTCAATCGGGCCCCTGGAACTTCCGATTCCATGGGTCGGACTCACAGTCGATCGGCACGGTCGATTAAAAGTGAGCTTGATCTGCTATACTTTGTTGTCTGGTTTACCTGAGCCTGCCATCACAAATGCGTTCAATATTCTATATCGACATGATGGTAGCTGGTTTTATCAAGTTGTGGAATTTGAATTGGCAAGGTGGTTGCTGGATCTTCTTGTTTTAGAAATAATTTCCATCACTACCTACGAAAATATGCGATACAGAAATTGTAGTGTGCCTTTCAAAGCTAGTCTTGAACTACGTTGCTTGCAAAGCAGCGACTATCAAGCAGACTCGAGTTTCTAGATTATTGAATCGATCTCAGTTCTGAAAGCCTTTGCCGTTGCATAAAGTCGAGTACATGAAATATTAACTACACGTTAAGGGCGATACATGGTTCACCAAGTACGCACCATGATATGCGTGACAGTTTTGATGAGGTTCTTCAACTATTGGAAGGCACCTGTTTTCCTTTCTTAAAACAATGACAACGCATAGTCGACCAACTTTTAATTCAGAAAACGAAGAACCAAACTGAAAGCTGCTGTGATATCCAGCTTGTATCAACTCTAGCAATGACAAATGTTAAAACTGGATTTCATGTACTTCCACCACTGAAAATAACTTGTTTCTTGTAAAAACAATTGCACAAAAGGTTATGCAATTGGAATATCATGCCAACCGGCTTAGAGAGCAGAAGCAACATTAATAAGGCCAAGAAAACCAGTGATTGACACAATAATTAATGTTCCTGGCCGAACATCCCATCATCGTATCATACTACAGGTACAGTTTTCTGGAGGCGTGTTAATGACTTCCGCAGCATGGCTACCATGAGGCATCATGCTTGACATCTGCTGCTGCAGGTGCGACCACCACAGCTGTGCACGGCTACCTGCGATTCCCTTCAATTGAAACATTCCTTGTAGAATTTTTGAATGAATGCCTCTTTAAAAGCCATCGCAAATTAAAAAATCATTAAACTTCATTTTATGCCCTTCTGCTAAGCCTCCTAAGAGAATAGAATTAGCTTAAAGCATTATTTACCGCAAGCTGAGAAAAAAACAAGAAGTGTCGAGTTCTAATGGTCATTTCTAGTCATTTAGCAAGATGAAACCAGAAACACTAGAAAATAAAAACAATTGGACACTATTGCCTAGTGGCCGTGCAGACCATTTATAAATATGAAATGGGATGGAAGTCCTGTCTCTTCATATCAATTAACTGAAAATCCAAGGTCCCAAGACGCGCCAAGTAGTTAATGCCTACTATTTAACGGCTCAACAAGTTTCCATTTAGCAAGTAAAGCAGTAAGGATGGGAAGCTTTTTGTTCTTGAGCGGTCATGTCGTGCAACAATGCTAATAATATTGGAGGATAGGTCTAGAAGGACAAAGCTTGCAAGCAAACGCCTATAATAAACGGACGCGCTTCTTTAAAGAATTGGGACGAGGATGGGACTCAGCAAAACACGTGATGTGAATTAAGACCTATGTAAAACAAGTATTGCATTGGCTTTAAACAACACCAACGACACCGCCTTCTCATTGTGAGACGGGGTTGGCAATTAGCTAGCTTATTTAATAAGCAGTCCACCATGGAGGTAGCATCATCAGACAAATATGTTTACCTGGTGGGTAAATCTACTCAATCTAATTATGTACGGAATAAGTTGGTGAGTGCATTTTACTTCCCAATAGGCTATGAATGCTACGCGGAGCTATTGGCCCAATCTGGTGGTGGTTCGATTCGTTACGTAACACCTCCAATTGTGGGTGAGGGAACGGACGTAGCCTCGCAATGGGGCCCACCGACAGCGCAATCTATAGAGCGCAATCGGCGTGATCTTGCCACACGCGACTGGTACTGGGGCGATGTGTCGCGCTCCGAAGTGAGCGAAATTATGCGTGAACGACCCGATGGGGCTTTTCTTGTTCGCGACTCTTCTGCCACCACTGGTGCCTTTACGCTTACTGAGAAGTGCGTCTTAAAAGTCCAGACCCCGTTTCTAGACTTGTTTGAATCGTTTGCTAGAATCTGGCTGGTTATCTAATTATAATTCCCTACCATTGGTTAACTATCTCTATAAATCTCATCTACACATGTTCATTTCATTCGCGCAAGGCGAATCGGTTTATTTTTCACTCTTGAATTTCTTCATGGATATTTGTTCCTTCCTTAACAGTTGCTGACTCCCCTGAATAGGGCTGTTACCTTTTCATTGGATGTACTGTTCCGGTCGACCCATATCGACGTACAAATTCCATTTTCAACCGTTTCCGTATTGAATTTTTTAAATCCCAGATGCGATGGTTTGTGCTCATTGTAGGAGCTTCAGGTCTTATTCACTCCTTTTTGCGTACATAAAATGGGAATTGTGTCAGGCATCATGTATAGCGGGGCTTTTTCCTTCGGCAAAGGATTTCACACAACCGCAGCATCACTGCCAGCTGCAACTTTGACAAAAGGAAAAATAGCATTCTTCATTGTCATTTCCAGACCAATGAATAGATTGTCAGATGATTTTATATTTTTGCTAACTTCAAATGATTAAATAGGATTTGTAACCAACTACAATTTGGGATAAATTTCTTCCGTGAATAGTTTTTTTTTAAATAGGCTGTTCGTTTGGTTTTGTGGGAACCTACATGCCACCCAATTGTTTGCCTCTTTGACGGTAACTGAAAATCACTGGAGAAATTGTTTTCGCGCTCCTATTTTCGGTGAAGTTCACCACCACCAAGGTGATCATTTTTTTCGAAAAAAATATGCTATTCAATGACATGGGGATGTCATTTTCGGCCAGTGCAACCGAGCTAGTAACATGGTGCTTGGGTTGAAGCTTGATCCATGATGTGAGCGAGTCGGTGAACAGCGGTAAGAATGTGTTGTAAAGACCAGTAACTTTTATAAAAAAAACTATTGACATAGGACTCAGATGCGTTGCATTTTGATTTGTACGGGTAGGCTAAGGTCGACATTTGCCTTTCAAGTGCCATCCTTTTCCGTTAGGTACGATAGTAGATTTGGTATTTAAGACACGAAATTATTAGTTCATCTGTTGACTAGAGGAAATTTTAGTTTTATATAGGATGCTCTGGATAGATAAGCAGAAATTGTGCGGAAGAAGCTGAAGGGAACCGCGGAAGATGCGCTCAACTTCAAGTGAGAACTTTAAGATGCTTGTACGGGTTTCTACATCTCACCTCCGGGCTTCTACGATTAAAAGCAGGTTTCTGACTTTGCCACTTTTCTACCTCTCACTATTGGTGTGTGCGCGTTTCCCATTTTCACAAGCAACGACTCACTCAATTCGTGCAACATACAAGAGCGCATATTGGATGGGTGTGGACACTGTCCACACAAGTTGTGATGAAAAGAGAACTTTGTTGTCATCCTGGGAACGTGCACACAAGCTTGCTTGTGTCGGAAACGACTTCGGGGACAGTTTAGTGAGAAAGGCGATGGGATCTAAGGTCATTGAGGCATCTAGCATTAAAGATTTTTTTGGTTATGCTTAAATTTATAATTACTTTTATTGTGTAAAAGCATTCTGACTGCATTGATTTTTTAGCGCCTCCAGGTTGCTCCAATCCTATTTCCCCGAGTACATGATATGGGTTTGAAGAATGAAACAGATGTCATAACTGACTAGCTATCTACTTCGTTCTGATTCATAAAAATTGTGCTTAGGATATTTGAATTGGTTGAAATTTATGTGCTCGCTGAAGCTCTGAATCGCCCCACTTTTATTGATTCGTATTTTGAAATTTGTTGATTTCCTTTGCAGTACAGTGTTCCTTAAGTCTAATTTGAGCTGTTTTAATTTTTTCCCACTTCGGGTAGGTGGAGTAATCTCTTTTCGTTCGCAAAGTTTCTTTGCTTATTGACTTGCTGTTAATAGGGTACGTTTAGTTCTCCTCATCATCCGAGGACACTTTTTTTGCCACATTCCTTCTTCCACGTAAACAATTCTGTACAGACAATTTTGCGTTGTTGCTACTCCCTGTGCCCCGGTTTGAAGGGCTGCAGGTTGTTTTCTAGTTAAAAGCCTGCATTTAATCGGGGAGAAATCTGCCTCGACCTTTTCGTGCTTAACAAATACGTTACCGGATTTTCAAGGAAAAGGTACCGCTACAACCCATGTTTTACTTGTGCATTTATTCTGCTCACTTCTTGCGGTGCACTTACGGATCTGAGTAGACGAGAACAATTTTCTGTTTACACGATGCTGGCAGTGTGCGTGTCAAAGACTTTGGGCTTAATTTACAAAAGTGGCTAAGGTTAGTCTGCTTAAAACGCTCAATTTCGTAGTAACTGTGCTTGTGCGAGAGGGGCGTAGGTGCACGCACCTCATAAATCCACAAGTAATGGGTAATTTAGCATGAAAGTAGTGATCAGTCGGTTGGCCGGTCATAAAGTGGTGGTAGATTGGAGGCTACGGGTTCAGTGGTGCTCTGAATGGTTTTGTTGTTATCGGCCTTTTCAGTTTTACAGGTACGTATAAGGCAATGTAGAGAATTGTTGGCTGCTCTCTCATCGGTTTGTGGCGATGAGCGAAGATGTAAAATATATGGGTCTTTCATCAGTGAGACATTTGGCATAACCATCTTGAATGTATCAGCGATCTTTACAACCACGCGTTCAGTTGCTACACCTGATTGCAACAAGCTAGCCTGTAGAAAGTCTGATAACGGATATAATTATTAGGAGCAAATGTTTCTTTTCGATGGCAGACACAGTGTTGTCAGTCATAATGACGTAGTATTTGATGAATTTCAACAACAAATTCACTTACGGCTCATCTACTTTGGCTTCATACTTTGTCTCTAGTGCATTTATGCGCCTTGAATCTTCCAATCAGTCCGTTCATCTTGTTATCAGTGCCTTCATTAAAGATAGGCTTATCAACTTCGTCCCATTTCAACGCTCAAAGCTGACAGATAAAAGGCTATTTACTCATGCAAGAGGGCATACAATAATAAACTTTTCCTTTTTAGGCGCAACTACAGCATCCTCCTCTTTCGAATCTACCATCGTGGTGACGTTTTCGACATTAGTAATCCACCTTCACCGGGTTTTCCATTGGTGTCTGCCCTAGTGGCCTACTATCAACAACAGAGACCCTTTACTAGCATCGATGCACCCATCCCAAGGCTATTGTATCCTGTGGTACGAAATAATTTACTTGAATTGTCGCTAAATCAAGTATCAGTCAGCTCCGATCAGATCGTCAAGACCTTACTCACTGCATTGAGGTCCACCTCTGTAGAATTGAACCAGATGGAGGTCAGGGTAAGTCAGTTTCGACCGTTGTTGTACTCTTATCTCATCTAATTTTACACAATTTTTCATTTTAATCTGTTGCATTTCTAATCATCTCCCGGCGATAAAATTTTTTGGGCTTCCGAGGAGAATATACTGTTTAATAACTTAAATTTGGTCGCTGATGTAGTTTTGTATTTGTGCTCAATTTACGCATTGGTCGCCAGAGGTTCCTTGAAGAATCCGATGTGTTTCGGTGGTCCTATTGATTAGTCGTGATGGTGAGTTCTGGGAACAACTTTACGTTGTGATTAAAATTATTTGGAGTCGTCCGGCACACCTTCTTCGTTCAACTAATTCTGAGTACTCTTCCAAGAGGCGCTTATGCTAATTTCAAGTACTAAATGTAGACGTTAAGCATATTTTTCTACCTAATGAATCATTTCTAGAGCAGATAATCCTTCCTGTAATACTAAAGTAAAGTGTAAAAGAACGATTTGAAACTTCTTTTATCTGCTTTATTCTTTGCTGTTTCATACCTTTACAGGTTGACAAGTTGAACTACCGTTCAAGTCAATTGATGCACCAAATGGCCGTGACAGCAAGCCAAATTCTAGCCCTTAAACGTGCAAGGGAATGGTTGAAGAAGGCTAGCTCACAGCTCTCAATCAGTCAAAAGGCTGTTAAGGGTGTCAGGTAATTTTATTTGTGCTTTTCGATATCCATTTAACAAAACTAAGCTTGATATCGACTACAGGTACGTTTGTTCGTGGGAATTAGTTTTTAGCATTGCTTATGACATTCATTTATGCCTTTACTTTTGCATATTAAAGTAATGATGGACGCTACGACGAGGTTTTTGGTCGGTCAAGGATTAAATAGCTTTCGATTGCTTACACCTTAGTAATGCTAGCTGCTAGAAGCATCCCTTCCATTTTAAAACTATTTGAAACTCATGGCCGTTGGTGAGATTGCGTTTCGAAGGACTTTTGCTGCTTCCTCCAAGTGTTACTATTTGCAATTATTTGGTAGGAAATTGTTCTTCAATTCAAGGAGAACTTTGTTCCAGCGCAAAGAGCCCTTTCAAACCATTGATGCCCGATATTATCTCATCGGATTTTATTTGCTTAACCCGTAATTGCCTCACCACTACACTCTCTTCAGCTATGCATCATTTGAAGTGCAAGCTAACATCTTAGAAGACCGTCTCGCCTGGGCCAAATCAGCTCGGCAGGTTAAACGTCAACAACATAGAAGCCTTATTGATCAAATCCGAGAGGTTTCCGAGGTCCAGGTGGTACTCTGCTCCCAAAAGCACCAGGTCCGTCGTCGCATGCAGGAGATTAGGCGCGAACTCAAACGTCGCGGCATCTCTGATGAAGTCATTTGTGCCTGTGACTCAGGCTCCATGGATTCCACCACGTCGACAGCAACGGTGGGAGCAACGGAAAGCATGGATAGCGATTTGGAGTCATTATCTTTGGCTTCGCCACCGGCATTGCCAACCTTGGATCGTTCCACGTGGTTCGCAGAGATGACGAGACAGGAAGCTGAGGACGTGCTGTTTAACAAACCCTCAGGGACCTTCCTCATCCGACCCTCAGCCATGGCCAACAGATTTGCATTATCTGTCAAGTAGGTTGTTCTAATCAGAGACTTCGTGAATGGCCTTCATTTTCTATTTGACTGTCGGTTTGGTCAAGTTTTGTCCGGTTTTTCTCCATTTTTATATCAACATGATACGTTGACGGAGTCTTGCCGATGTACCATGTAATGAAGCAATTTTTTGAAGTCGTGAACTGTGGCTCTTTCATTTCGACTCCCTGCGACCTTCGCGCCCAAATTCTATTCATCATCGAGGCATCAATGCTTTGCTGTGCCTGTATCAGCGGTTGATGTGGTCTTTTTGAGATTACCGAGGGGTCATAGGCGTTTGATGGAATGATGTTTAACGAGTTAAGAGACTGGACAATACCCACTCGCTTACTGTAAAATGTTCGCTATATAAATTCTATGTGATGTGCTTTGAGCTTATCCATCAGCTGCGCTGAGCTTTGTCCGATCACAAAGAAGCAGAAGCTTCTTGAAGTATGCGTTGCGTACGGTTCTAGGAACGTCTGTTAGTTGCGAAATCCAAATCGACGTGTCAAGAACGCCTGCATTTATCAAAAGTTCAAAGCATTGACTGTTAAGCCAATAGATTTTGTACGCGTGGATCAACTGGATCTGGCAAGTAATAAGTTTTAAAGCCTCTGTTTGTTCTTTGCTTCGTGTTTCATGTGAAATGATTTTCACAGCTCAGCGTTCATTAAGCAAACAAATGCATCTTTGTGACATAATGGTCTGGGCATTTATTGTGGTCAATGAGTGAGCACCAGAGAAATGGGGAGAGATATCTTATATATCTTATCTTATATATATATATATCTTATATCTATATCTATATATCTTATATCTTTGGTCTTTTCTCCACTCTTTTGTAGAGCGGGCCCCTGCGTTCAGCATTGCCTCATCTACAGTGCTCGTGTCAGTGATAGTTACGGTAACACAACGTCACGCTGGGGCTTTTCAGAGAAGACACTAGTTTTTCCTTCTTTAGATGACTTGGTTGCCTTCTATCGTAATACTAGTCTGGCTCAACACAATGCTCTCTTGGACACGACGCTAGCTCTACCAGCCTTTGCATTGACATCCACTTCACCGCTAGAAAAGACGCCAACGAAGTCGGTGACGAATTAAGAGTCCTCTCTTCCCTTCATCCTGCTTCTTTTTTGTGCTTGCACTCTACGGCTCTACCTCTTGTCGTGCTTTGTCTTTCCTTGACGCAGACTATATGTGTGCTTGGGAAAGAGAGTGAAATTGAAAGCTGCTTTTATAGTTGACGAAGCGACTGTGGAAAGGATTTTTTGACCACTTTGGTCAGAAAGGATGCAACCAAACCGGTGTGCCATTGATCTCCGCTTATTTTGTTCTCGTTGAAGTTGACTGACAGTAAATGAAGGAGTTACTTATGCTATGGAGCTGTATGCTAATATTGAAATTTTTTATTGTTTCTTTTCTCAATGCTCATGTTCAGGTTGTACATTCCTCCGTCTATGTTTGCGCTTTACGTAACCTTAAATATGTCTATTTAAAAGAAGGTGAAGTAAATTAACAAGAAAAAGGGAAAATAAATGCAGGCAGTTTATAGCTCTCCTCTCTGATGCAGTCAAAAGAAATCGAATTTCGTCCTTTCTAGGTGGCAGTGAAGTCGCATACTACTCAATTCATTCTCTTGCAAACAATTTGAATTGATAATTGGAAGGAAGCCACATATAAGCAGTCTTTTCGTTTCATTTGATTTGCATTGCTGCACTCTTTCGCAGTTGCTCTTTAAGAGAATGAGTTTAGGTTTTTATTGCGTGTAATCATGGCATTCTTTTCGCTACTTCGATGCTGAAGGTCTAAACTTCCCAAGTGCAAAACCTTGTTAATGAATACGCAGAGCGGGATGGGATGGTTTTAGTCCTAAGGGGGTGGTATGCCAGCTGAATGGGAAAGTGGAGTCAGATCTATCATTTTCCTAAACGAATAGTCTTAGGAACGCCTACGTTGAATTGAGACCGCTATAACTAGAGCTGGGGTCGTGGCTGTCAAGGCGATATAGGTATGCAGACATGCCTTTTAAAGGTTTATGCTGGTGGAATGTGCCACCACTAGCTACTTGTAATACCTGCTCGATGCCTTCTGTGTGTGTTGAAAACGCATTCAAGCACAAACATTGTTGCTGCTTGGCATCTTGATCAAGAGTGGTGGGGATACCGGAGTCTTCTGCTTTGGTGGCGCGCAATCCTTGTCTTGCAGACTAAATCACACTTCTGTTTGAATACCGAATTCAAGAAACATTGAGAAAGTGGCTCGATGCCTTTTCACGACGTGGCCAACGGAGTCCTTTTTTTGCAGTTAGTTGGTCACTTAACATCAGCCTCTTTCTGCCTTGTCATATTTGAAATTTTCTATCGGATGGGTAAAAAATGGTTTTAAGTAAACGCAAGAAGACTCTTCCAAATGCACTCCTGGATCCATTAACAAATCTCACTCAGTTTTCTTTTGCTTCCCAGTTGTACCTGTCCTATTTACATCAAATAGGAAATCCGTTCTCCTCTTCCAATATTTTGGTGCGTCTCTTGCGTAGGGCGGGAATGATTCGTGACGGCTACGAGAAGAGCAACATTCAATGCCAAGCAGGGCGATGCGGTTTTACGGTGAAAAAAGGCCTAATGGGGTGCATAGTTCAGCACGAGGGGTGCATTAACTGTCAAATGCTACTTGTAAATAGTCGGCCCTGGGTTTCAGTGAAGCCGTGATCCTAGATGACCCCGCTTCTCTCCAGTTCCTCAAAAACCATCAGTTGTTGATAGTGAATCTGTTTGAGGGACAAAAGGGCATTCACCAGCTTCAGATTTTGGATCCTAAGAACTTCAGAAGTAAAGTATGAAGAAAAATCTGTGGAAACAAGTCGGAAAGAGTAACAGAGATCGAGGATGTACCTAGTAATTTGACGGTAGTAGGATGAACGATGTGAGCATCGTTGAAATCGTAAAATCATATCCTGCAATGCGCGACTGCAAACAGCCGAAGCAAAGTATGAGGTACAACTTCATTTATCTGTATTGCCCACTTAGGGCGCACTTGACGAACGTAGGGTAGTCCTTCGAGGGGCAGTGGCACAGACTCCTTCCTCCTCTCCCCTCCCCTCTCCCCATAGCAAGGTTGCATTTGAGTTCTCAAAACACCCACTCACGCATGCATACGCATACTTCCTGTTCACAATGCGAATCGTCACAAGGTGTGCCTAGACATGGCCAATTTTCATTTCATAGCCTTCGTTTACTGCTTCGTGAAGGCTTCCTGGGTGTTCTCATTCCGTTGCATTTTTAGCGGAAGCATATGAGACAAGGTGAATGAAGTATACAATTATATTCTTTCACGAAATGTAACAATCTATCGCTCATGTGGTAAGCGTAGCAAAGTCAATAAACTACTTCCCAAAAATCTCCATGAATTCGTCCAAAAAAGACCAAAAAGGTGATGGAGGGGGAGAGTCTGGAGGCGGATTTTCTGTCAACCGACCGATCAATTGGTCTACCAAGAGGCGTACTTTCTGGCGCAAAGAGGTGGAAGTTGATAAAGGCACCATTAGTCAGGGATTGGTCCAAATTCAGCCATAAAATGCCGCTCTGTTTAATGAGTACCTGAGAAGTGGACCTTTTTAAGACATCAATCATGCAAGATGGTGTAAATCCTACAAAGGGAAGCTGAACAATCGCACGACTTAAAAGCTAATCTAGATTAGTAGCATTGTTATAAAGTGGTAAAAGTAGAGTATGCCGCGCAGATTTATAAAATGACTTCAAAGGACAAACAGTCAAAGTTATGAGGTATCTCGGTGGTACGAGCCTTTAATTATTGAGCCTGGGGATGAAATTAGGAGCGAAATTAACTTTGCTTAGTAAAGTAAGCACATCATCGACGCTTATTTGGCTTTAGCCACCTCTACCAGTTTTTTATCGTTGTGGCTCAGCCAACACTGCACTGTTCCGGGTTTTTGAATTCTGCCTCAGTGAGCTGCTCCGCTCACCCGAAAACGGAATACGCAGACGAGATGGTAATAGCGGTAGCACTTGGTGGAGACTTGTGTGTCATCGTCGTAGTGAAGCTGCAATAGATGAAGAGCACGGCCTCTGCATCCATTACTGGTCAGCTAATCGGCCTTAGTGGAATTAGGAATTACATGCCGAAATATTCTTCCATTTCGCATTGGTCTCCGCATAAGAAAGTGCTAAATAATGTTACTTTTACATTTTTTTCCTTAAAATTCATTGGCACTTATAGCAATATAGTATCGGTTTCACGACTGTCCTCGAAGCCTTTTACAGTTCTTTTTTCGGTGGATATAGAAATGTCGGCAGTATACGTATTAATTTGTGTTTTGAAGTAGCAAATTGCCCCTGAAAAGGTGTGAAAGCAAGCCGTAATGGTGGGTAATCAAGGCCACATGTCATCTACGTCTCTTGTGTCTTTCCACCATAACAAAGATAATTGAGAAAAGAGACTTAAGTTCCCGCTGTAAGGGAGAAGCCATGAGTCAAAGGAAGATAGCAAGCCGAAGGAGTGGTGGGCAGCTGGGTAAACTGTCACATGTGTCCTTGCAATGATCTCAGACATCGTCACATCGAGAGCTGTGGTAATGAAAAAAAAGGCTAACCTCGCAAACTCTTTACGCCTCATGATTTCACCATTTTAGACAAAAGGTGAAAGATTTACGCGACTAAAGTGACGGTGACACTGTGCCATTATCACTTGGCTTCGGTGGGTAAATCAACGTCTCCATAGAGTGTGCTTCGAGTTTCCTTCCTGCATTGTACTTTGCAGCCTTCTGGTTGTACGTGAACCTTTCAAAGGTATCCTCAACACCCTTTGAAGGGCTTAATTAATCACTGTGTCATAAGGATGGAAGTGCTAGGAATGAACTCTTCTATCAACTTGATATTGGCGAATGACCGGCAAGTCAATGGGTGACTGTCTATTCACCGTCCAGCAAAGCAAGACAAGAGTGGCAACTAACAAATCGCTCTTCCTCATCTTCGCATGACTTCACTGATCAAGAGTTACTTAAACACGTATGTTTTCTGCTAGTTGCCTTTTGAGGTGAAAAGTGTCTACCACCTTTTCTTCACTTTCTATACATTGAAGGAGGTGGTGGGTTGACGTAAAAATGTTGCATGTAACTTCAATTGTTAATGTCGGAGTAAAGTGCCATTAATTATAATCGTTTAGAAAATAAGGTTTTAAGGAATTATGTGCTTTAAGTAACAAATCGGTGCAGGAATAAGAACATGAAAATAAATGTTTCACTTCTACACGCAAAATGGTAACCACTAATGTGAGTGCAGCGTAAGTGGAGGCAAATGAAGGGACCTCCAAAGATGGTGCACAATTAAAAAAGTTTGATAAGCGGCCTTTAATAAGCCTTAATGGAGGACTTACACATTATAATTGAGGCATTTAATGAGGCAAGCATTGATAGTAAAGGTTTTTCTGGAACATGTTCGTTTGCTAGGTGTCTTGATGGTTGTATTGGTTCCAAACCATTGCTGACATCAGCAGATAAACGTGCGATTTTTAAGCAATTGATTCGACGTGAATGACAATGAATTTTACGCCTTAACCAAAAGTTGCCCCTGTAAACTAAATTTGGACGCACAGCTATCGTGTGGAAGCGTCAAATGGGCACCCACCAGTCATTGGGACAGACGAGGAGCGACAGAGGTGTGAGGTGCGGAAGCTCTATGGTGAAACAGATGCAAAGAAGGCGAAAACATTTGTAAGTGGAATTTCCCTTTGGACCTAAATCCTCCCCATTTGGTTCCCTTCATCTCACTGTGTTCAGGTTCGCGAAACTGACAGGGGTTTCCTAACTGACAACGGCTTGGGTGATTTTGCCAACGTGGTGACCATTTACACCAAACACAACACCTTTTAGGTGGCGATGGTGAGATGCCCTTAGTGAACTCAAAACTTCAAACATAATTATCTTAGCAAGCATAAGTTTGAGGCGAACCACCACTTTGGTTTCGGGGCAGCTTGGATCTATTTCCGCGTATCAGACTGTCAACAGCGCTGTGTGGCATCAAGTGAAGTCTCTCCGAAAATTGACGGGTCTCTTTCAAGATACCGACTGTGACTATTTTCAATAA